TTTATCGCTTCGATTAGTGCGAATTCATTATAGTACGGTTTAAAAATATCAAAATAAATTGAGCCGCATCAAAAATTAATCAATAAAAAATCGTAGAGAAAATTATTTTTATCTTAAACAAAAATATTAGGTTTTTCTTCATCATCGATTAGTCCGGTTTCAAACAGTGCGGTACCCGCATTATGCAAAGTATTCCTGTAATTTCAGATTGAAGAAAAACGTTGAATTTTCATTATTTTAAAACAAGTTTACTTATTTAATGTGAAACTTGATTAATTAATAGAAAAATTGTAGTTTTTTTTTGAATGTGAAAACGTACTAATCGAGGACTTTAAAACAGCAATAAAGGAGACTTGACTAGATAGAGGAATAAATACATCAATGTTTTGCTTCGATTAGTGCGGATTCAATATAGTACGGTTACAAAATATCAAAATAAATTGAGCCACATCAAAAATTAATCAATAAAAAATCGTAGAGAAAATTATTTTTATCTTAAACAAAAATATTAGGTTTTTCTTCATCATCGGTTAGTCCGGTTTCAAACAGTGCGGTATCCGCATTATGCAAAGTACTTCTGTAATTTCAGATTGAAGAAAAACGATGAATTTTCATTATTTTAAAACAAGTTTACTTATTTAATGTGAAACTTGATTAGTTAATAAGAAAATTGTAGTTTTTTTTTTGAATTTGAATACGCACTAATCGAGGACTTTAAAACAGCATTAAAAAAGACTTGACTAGATAGAGGAATAAATACATCAATGTTTCGCTTCGATTAGTGCGGATTCATTATAGTACGGTTTAAAAATATCAAAATAAATTGAGCCGCATCAAAAATTAATCAATAAAAAATCGTAGAAAAAAATATTTTTATCTTAAACAAAAATATAAGGTTTTTCTTCATCATCGATTAGTCCGGTTTCAAACAGTGCGGTACCCGCATTATGCAAAATATTTCTGTAATTTCAGATTTAAGAAAAACGTTAAATTTTCGAATTTTTATAATTTTAAAGCACGTTTACTTATTTAAAGAAAATCTTGATTAGTTAATAGAAAAGTTCTATTTTTTTATTGAATGTGAAAACGCACTAATCGAGGATTTTAAACCAGCATTAAAAGAGACTTGACTGAATTGAGGAAAGGAATAATCAATGCCTCGCTTCGATTAGTGCGGTTTTGAAATTTCAAAATAAATTGAGCAACATAAAAATAGATAAAAAAAATTCGTACAGAAAATTATTTTTATCTTATACAAAAATGATAGGTTTTCCTTCATAATCGATTAGTCTGGTTTGAAACAGTGCAGGATATTAGCGGTACCCGCACTATGCGAGGTATTTCTGTAATTTCAGATTATAAAACTTGATTAGTTTATAGGAAACATTGTATGATTTTTTTCATTGAATGATCGGATGAGGAGAAACTAGGTTGTGCAAATCCGAAATTGAAGTAGTTAATAAAAAGATTAGCAATTTGGCGACATTTGCATAACAAATGGGGAACGTGTATACAAGCTGAAAGATCAATAAAGACGAGTTAGCGAGTTTCGTGGAGACTACAAGAAAAAAAAATGAAAATGAAGAGAGGAGGAACAGGAGATGCAAATTGTTGGATGATAAGATGGGAAAACCGTCTGAAAATTGAGAGCTCCCTGAATAAGTAAGCAATTTCGTGCGAACGGCGTTTTGCGAAGGGAAAATTTTTGTAAAATAAACATTACGAAAAACCGCGAATAGCAATATTTAATTAAGAAAAATAACATTTTCTTTTATTATCGCTGCGACCTCTTGGGAAATTCAATCCTTTTATATTTACAATTATATGTGGAGGAAGAAAGTAATTTCAATTTTTTTTTATATCCTACTAAAAAAATTATTACTTTCGTGTAAAAGTTGATATAAAGCTTGAGATAATCCTGAACCAGTTCATCTTACAGGATCAATTAAACTAATCCGCAAATTAAGAGCTAAAAATTATATTACTTTAACTTTGAGAGTAAATTTGTAGACACTAATCTTCAATACATATACAAGATATGTGACTTAAATAGACATTAAGTTAATACAATAAAAGTAGTGTTATAATCGTATCAATATATTTACATATTATATATGTTTATTTACATAATACTAAAAAGCTTATTTAATTCATTTTATACTTGTTGAATGAACGAATTACGAGTAAAATATATTTGATGTTGAGCTGGATGTAATCGAGCAAACTTATGGGGAAAATGTAAACTCATTGATTGAAATGCCGATGAAACCGAACGAGGAGAATTCGAAGCGAAATTTGAAGTAGTAAAATCAAATTTGTACGTATCAGCCATGTCATCGGTATTCGCGCGGTTATTATTAGCGAAATTGATTGAACGAAACGGGAGAGATGGGAAAACGAAATTAAACGCTGAATATAAAAGATCTGGTTACGTACACCTAAAGCCATATAACTCGATTTTGTGTACAGACTCAACCAACGATTCATTTATTGCCGAACGTAATCAATAAATGTAATCTTTTCTATTGAAATTTTGATTTGTTAATTTCTTCTTGCATATGCAGGTTTTATATTAACGTTTCACAAAAATGTAAATTAACATTTTATTACTTTAACTTGGACTGTAAATTACAAGAAAACTGTTGAAGTCACAAACGTCTAATTACACCTATTTTCTTCATTAGATATTCAGCTTTATTATAAGTAGAAATATGTATGATTATCATGTAAATTGACTAAATGAAGAAACTGTATTGACTACTAGTTTAAAGTTACAATACTTGAAGTTTGACATTAAATTACAGAAAAGTTGTAAGTGCCATTGAAGTCCAATTATATCCATTTTATTCTGCATTTATTCAGGTTTTATTAAATCATTCTGCTATAATTGTGGCTATCATAGAATTTGAGTAATCCACGAAAATGTAAAGATATGACAAGAAGTCTGTAGGTATTATTCATTGAAAATTACCTCAAATTAGACTTTAAATTACAAGAACACCATATAAGTCACAAACGAAGTAAAAAATGCGTTAGAAAGCTTATACATTTGTGTTTCATTAGATCATAAAATAATGATTGTGTGTGTAATAAGAACAGAGAAATAATCAACTGGAGAAACCATTGATTTTACGTTGCCAAATTTATGCATTTAATGACTAAATGAAGAAAATGCATGGAATATTAATGTAGAGTTACAATACTTGAAGTTTGACAATAAATTACAGAAAATCTGTCAGTGCCATTAAAGTCCAATTACATTAATTTTATTCCGCAATTATTTAGGTTTTATGAAAGCATTCTGTTATAATTGTGGCTCACATAGAATTTGAGTAATCCACGAAAATGTAAAGAAATGACAAGAAATCTGTAGGATTTATTCATTGAAAATTAGCTCAAATTAGGCTTTAAATTACAAGAACACCATATAAGTCACAAACGAAGTAAAACATGCGTTAGAAAGCCTATATAATTGTGTTTAATTAGATGATAAAATAATGATTGTGTCTGTAATAAGAACAGAGAAATAATCAACTGGAGAAACCATTGATTTTATGTTGTCAAATTTATGCACTTAATGACTAAATGAAGAAAATGTATGGACTACTAGTGTAGAGTTACAATACTTGAAGTTTAACAATAAATTACAGAAAATCTGTCAATGCTATTAAAGACCAATTATAACCATTTTATTCCGCAAATATTCAGGTTTTATAAAAGCATTCTGTTGTAACTATCATAGAATTTAAGTAATTCACTAAAACGTAAAGAAATTATTTAAAAAAAAAATACTTCAAATTTGGCATTAAATTACAAGAAAACCATATAAGTCTCAAACGAAGTAAAATATGCGTTAGAAAGCCTATACATTTGTGTTGAATTAGATTATGAAATAATGATTGTGTCTATAATAATAAGAGAATAATTCTATAAAATATGACACTACTAATAAATAATCAAAAACTGGAGATATCATTGATTTTACGTTGTTAAATTTATGCATTTACGAGATGGAATGTTATATGTATTTTCAAGACTAAAGTATGATCTTAATTGATGTTGCACGAGCGAAATAATTTAAACGTTAACGAGGTGCTCGCTTAATGTAAATAGCAGCGCAGAAATGTAATAGCTTCGGAGTTAAAGGTGTACCGGATAGTGGTGCTAAACAGGATTGTTATAATAACAGTTGAGAGAGTGAGTTGTTGAAATGCGACCGCGATATCCGGAATAATATGCAGATGATAGGAGTCGAGGATCGTCCCAAAAACCTGGTGCCGTTCCAAGCCACAACAATTCTCAACTTACTCTAAAACCCAGTACAGAATTAAGGACAGTTTCGCAGGTATAGACAATACAGAAAATTGCAATTGCAAGAGTAATTAAATATTGAAATAATTAGTATATAGATATTAAGTAATATTGAGTGAAACTTTGTGAATGTATTTCTCTTCTATGTGATGTAGATTCTGATCCTGCGAAAGGATCGAAGGATGCGACCTCGAATTACCCGCCACCTTCTTAATATAAGCAAACTAATTCGAAGTTGGTAGCGCGGAACGACTATACATTAATTAATTATTGGCAGGCTTCCCGTAAATAAGAGAGAGAGGCGAGAGAGAGTTTATGTGAGTTGGAGAGAGGAGCAGAGTTCAGACAATGGGTCCCACGGGGCCCCACGCCCGAACTATATTATATTTACATCGAAATCCCACCAAAATAATACAATTATAATGTCGATAAATTATACATTCACTTCCTCGCAGACATCCTTGAAGGTCCTTTAATTACGCCGTATTTATTTATATGCAAACGCGCGTTTCTTTTGCATCATCTCAATCTGCTGACGAGGGTTTCACCAATATCAAGCAACCCTCCCAAAAAAAAAGAATGAGATACACCACTGACAACTTCGAGTATTGGAAATTATGCAACGTTCTGCTTATTCCGATAATCCAAGCGCGCGTTCGCTCGTTCGGATGATGGAAATTCGATTGTACCTTGTAGTGTCCCAGATCTGTCACGGCGCAGCTGAGGATCGCCTCTCTGCCCACCGCCACTGTCACGTTGACGATGGGACCGCTGAAGTCGGGATTCAGGTCGTAGGGCATCGAGGTCGGATCTCCTGAAACGTAATAAGACGTGATAAGTTTAGAGACACACAGGGCGAAGTCGAAGGATTAAATTCTTTAAAAAAAAAATTTGTTTCGCTAGAATCTTGCGCTTCCTTCACGGCTATCACGGATTCGGGAATTGCGCCCGGTTGGGCTGTAATCCGTAAGGTTTATAGTCCGGGGCATACGGAGATGCCATTACGTTTAATCTTAGTCTCAGACCTTTAACGTCTAACAAACATCTCCTATGTATTATACAGGGATGCTCAAAGATTTACTGCTGCTACACTACTAGTGAAATGTACACTTCAATTTAGCGTAGATATAAAAAAAAAACCATTTTTTCGAAGTTTCCCAAATAATATAGAGACAAAAAGATTTTTACAACTTAAAACAAAACTTAAAAACTTCTATAACAAAATAAAATTTACTCCATAGAAAACCATACAGATTCTTTCTTTTATCGAAATGATTATAAAAAATTCATTTGTTTATTATTTTTTCACAGAAAATGCGATTTTAAAAAGGATGGAAATTCTGTAGATCCATTGCTCAAACATGTCCTTGTTTTTGATAGAAAATTTGCAGAAATAGGCAATATTCTCTCATTTAATACTTGTACATTCATTACTAGTACCAGACGTTTTCTTTACATTATTAAAAGATATTTTCTGGAAAACCAGACGTTTTTTTTTTTCGAATTTTATAAATTTCTTCAAAACTCCATAAACCCTACTTCAATTTTGTAGAATGCAAGGAATTGCAAAGTTATTGTAAATAAACATAAGAAATTTTGTTATATAATTTATTTTATTAAATAATTTCCTACTAAAACATTAAATTTTTTCTTTTTAAATAATGATTGATTTCTGTAATAATTCTTACGTTTCTTTGCTTCATTTTGTTGTAATTTCTACACTATTTCAAATACTTACAAAAATTTACACATAGTTTGTAATTAAATAAACTTCTTGTTTATATGATATGATCAGAATCAACTAAAAGGAACAAATAATTTAGATGATATTAAGATTTAAATATTTATTACCCGATCCTAATGCAAATCTCATATAGATTTATACAATTTTTGTAATATCTGAACTAATGCACTCAAATACTTCATATGTTTTTAGAAAACTGCACTGCATTAGTGCAGATTCACTAAAATACGGTTTGAAAATTTTGCAAAACATAATATAAGAATATTATTTCTGGCAGGAAATTTCATTAAATAAATTAATATTTGTAAAACTGAATATTTCAATTCATTGATTTTAAACCAATTTCGATCATTGAACCTAAAATAAATTAAGAAATTGCACTTGGTTCTATTTTTATGCGGTAGATACGTTCCACAAGAAAACGCATAAAAATAAATCGCACAAAAAAGAACTAGACACACATGTAAAAATAAAGAATACATTCCATATTTTTTTTTAAACCGCATAAAATTAAATCAATGAGTTACAATATACCGAAAATCGCATAAAAAAGGGTTTATTAAATTTTAGATAAATAATTAGTCTTAACTATATTCTTTCTGAAATGTTTATTCATAATTTTATAAAAAGGTTAACAAACATAGACAAGTTTATTAAA